GTACAAGACAAAAAAACATGTCAATGCGATGCTTTGTCGAGTTTCGATCGGATTTATATAACTGAGCGGAAATAACTGTATTATATTTTAAACTTAGCTTACGCAATGTGAGTTTAGCTAACGTTGTCAGTTTATATTCTTTGGTCTTTTTTTACACTTTTTGTAAAACATGTAGTAAACGACAACTATTTAAATAATTTCGGCTTAGGATGGTGTATTATCTGAGTCACTTTAGCAAGTTTTCCATAAATATACCATGTCAACCACTGAGATTGATGAATTAAGTTGCAATTGGTGAGGAATATCTTGAATCGGTTTTATTTCAATATCAGGATGTTTATATAGCAATAAATTAGGCGAACATCTTCAGCAATTGCAATGTGATGATCAATGTTGTCAATAATAGAATATGTGTTGCTAATAATATATTCAAATGAGACTGATTACCAACGACATTACAAACCAAAATAAAATTTTGACACAGAGATATGTTCTCGCTTTTATTTTATTGTGATAGTAAAATGCAAACGTTAGAATTAAAATAGCAAAATACATTTCACTTACGCCAATAATACAGGTAAATAGATAAATAATAGATCTATATCGAAAAGAGACTTTTAATAATAATTACATTACAGTTTTGATATCATATTAATATAACATATTCATCATATATCATATTTATTAAGAAACCAAAATGAAAACTTTAAACAATGATTAGTTTTTTTCAAATGCTGAGATTGTACTTTTGCAGATCTAAACTAGGGTTTGCAGTATCATTCAATGTTTTATAATGATTTTGCTGTCCACATCTGTTGTGATTCTGGCTTTGCTAATTTTTGGGTACATCTATACGTTTTTCTATACATTAGATATCCTACAGATGAGTTCTTAAAAAAACACAGACGTATTTCCTCCTATATTTGTCTCCTCGTGATTTACGTCCATTTTATCACCCCGAACATGTGAACTCTCAAGTTTGTATAAGAAATCAGTATGAACTCACTTACTTACACAATTGGGGGAGACTGTACAACATTTCTCGTATTCAGGATACAACTTATACTAACACGTTTCCGTTATATTGTAATCGTAAATTAGCACAGAAGCAGTATTCATTTTAATCGCGATTGAAATACATCCCTGTTACCCAAATGAAATACTGCATTTTTTCTATAATTGGCACAAATGCAATGCGCGCAATACTTTAATGTCAATTATGCAAAACACTCAAAGTCAATGAACTACGACTGAAGAAACAGGACCGAACAGTTTCTGAGATATAAGATATGCCAATGCTAATACAACTGCATACTGTAACGGAAATCAGTCTTAGTTCAAATATCATGCTGAGAAATACCAGTTGTCATTTACATTGTTTGTGTAGCTATATGTATATAAGTTTTTCCATGGTTACCATCGGTTACATGAAAACATCCCTAAAGTTGGTATTTGCTCGATTTTACTTTACCACGGTGACCCCATTTAAGTATAATGGACTGATCCAGTCTGTAGTATATAAACCAGCTTAAGACAGTCAAACTTATTATCCCTCATGGGTATTCAAGGTCGTTAAAAACCACCCTCATCAAACTCTGTCAATTTTGTGTTACCTGTTGATGAGAGATGAGTGAAAAAATATTCGGCTTTAAGCGTTCCTAATGAAGGTAAATCCAGAAAAGCGCTTCAGACGCATGAAATTTATAACGTGTGGTTTTCATTTTTCACGGATAATATTCCAACTGGTAGGTAGAGTGACTTCAGTAATTCCAAAGGATAAAAATAGTGTTCGGATTTATAAGTATATATCTAAAATAGTGATTGTGATACATAGTGAAACTTATATAATAAGTTATTTTACAGTGAAAGTACCAGGTGTATACTTGCTAGTGTTGTAAGTTGTCATATTATGGAAAGGTGAATTCTTCCTAGGAGTGTATTAGTGAAAGTGCACTGTGTTTAACCTTACCAGTTTGGAAAATATTCATTTCGTTCGAACTCACTGTGATAATTAGTGCGTGAGTTGAGCTGTCTTTTTATATATATATATCGGATTTCGACAATTAATGTCTCTTCAGTGATATTAGGGATTGAAACGGTATTTGGAAGGCCATATAATTTACCTCAATTTAGGATAGACTCTTGAATTTTGAAGAGTCGAAATATTAGAAATAGGGTGAACGGATCATATAAACCCGAAGAAAAATATAATACAAACCCAAACGAAAAAAAATAAACAAGCCTAAATTGAAAACAACGTTCAAACCTATGATTGCGTTGGATAAAAACCGCAAATTTTATACATGTGCATGCAAAACAAATTTCTTGTTAGAGGGGTCTAAATACAGCACAAACAACATTTTCCAAAAGACCAAAAAAGTGAAGAAAAAGTATATTATATATATATATATATATATATATATATATATATATATATATATATATATGTAAGCTTTTGTATATATATATATATGTAAGACTCAGATCGACGTCCGGTCTCTAATCGACGTCCGTTCCTCAAATAGACGTCCAAATCTGACGTCACAATAAAATAAGATTACAAATCGATGGCCAATTTTATGCCCCTCTAGGCTCTAATCGACGTCCAATTTTTTGGCTTCTCTAATCGACGTCTGAATTCTAATACTCTCAAAACCGTTGGCTGTTCTTCTTTATTTTGTCCATTGTTGAAAACTGAATGTTGCCCTCTATATGTCGTTTGGTTTTCTTTGTCGTTGGGTTGTTTTCTTATTGACGTATACTCACATGTCATTTATCAATATGGATATGAATGACATTCGACAACGTAGATCGATTGGATTAGTTTCTATCAATATAAATATTAATATACATGTATATGTTATAAGATGTTGGTGTTTGTCGTGTTGTCATTTATCGATGTTAGTCCTTTTATTTTTATTTATATTTTAATATGAATATTAATGACATACGGCAACGTAGATCGATTAGATTAACTTCTATCAGGGTTGAAAATTCTCTATGGTAAATATCTATAACTGTTTGAAAATTGAGTTGTTATAAGAACCCTACAAATCGTACCCAAATTCATCTTTTATTTCGTATTTGAATGTTTCAAAATCAATCAACGTCTTATACATGTACATGTATACGTGCAGTAATTTATTATTTATTGATATTGGACATCGATTAGAGAAGACTACAATCAATCGGACGTCGTTTTGAAAATACATGACTTCACATTGGAAGTCGATTAGAGGATCAAAATATTGGACGTCGATTTGAGAATTTGACGTCAGATTTGGACGTCGATTAGAGACTGCACGTCGATCTGAGTCTAACATATATATATAAAATGTCTAAATAATAGCCAACGATAAATCTTACGAGGCGATGGATCATATAAATATGATATATATATATATATACATCGAAGGATTTGTGCAAGTCTTCAATATTGTGTCGTTGTGTTATTGTGGTTATAAATTGGTGAACTTGTAAATAGATATTGTATATATGTGTAATTGTGTTCATACGTTTTGTGTGATACTTACCAGATGCATGTTGCATAGGTATCTGCTCATGACAATTTGAATAATTAGGCCTGATACATGTTGCATAGTGATTGCATTGTGACATTGTGTATATATATTCTGTTAGGATACATTGTGTTTATGCATTGTGAATCAGGTACTTCACCTTGCTCTTTGATATATTTGCATTGTGTGTTCATTTTAGGATACGTTAATAGATTTACATAAGACAACTGGTTGTGGTATTATTTTGGGTTTAGCACTTGAAATCTCGATTTATTCGGATACGGACCAAATGATCGCCCGTTACACGTTACAATACTAAATATCATTGATCTATCATAAGTGGTTCCCCTTTGGCCTAATCGCATACTTTAACATGTAAACTATGCAAAAGTTTCAAAGTCAATGGACAATGACTGAAGGGGCAATAAATAATCTCCATAACAATGAGATGTGCTAAAGCTTATCCCAACTCTATACCAAACATCAAACTTACCATTGCTGGTTTCCCTCAAACTTACTAAATCACAACTTTAACATTTGAGCTATGAAATTGTCATTTAGTCAATAGACCATGACTGAGGCAACACAAACAAAAAGTGATCACAGAAATGAGATGTTCCAATGTATATACAACTGCATACCAATATCATTTACATATCATTAGTGGTTCCTCTCAAATTTATCAAATCAAAACCATTAACATGTAAACTATGCAAAAGTTTCAAAATCTATAGACCATGACTGAGGGGCAGTGCCTAATAATCTCAATGGAAATGAGATGTGTCAATGCTAATACATCTGTATACTAACTTGAAATATCATTGATTCGTCATAAGTGGTTCCCCTTAAACTAACCTAATCACAAACGTTAATATGTAATCTATTCAAAAGTTTAAAAGTCAATAGACAATGACTAAAGAACCGGGGCAAAATCATCTTCATTCATTGAAATGAGATGTGCCAATGCTTACACAGCTGCATTCCAAATATCATTGATCTACCACATGTGGTTCCCCTTAAAATGACCTTACCACAACATACGGTGTTAAATAAGAAAGATATCTATATAGTACTACATTTATGTTATTTTGTATGCTTAGCTCTTAATCGCCCAAGACGATAAGAAACAGTGAATAAATACAGAGAATATCAAAGATCTGCCATAAAAAAAAAAAGATTTCTCAAAAGAAAGAAATCATTATGATATATGAAAGAAAACAACTGAATAGTTGCCCGCCTTTGATCAAGCACATGCACATATGATAGTGTTATGATAGTTTTTGAGATCTTGACTCTATACCTCAGGTAGGCAGGACTTGTCACAGTCTTACTCGACCCAAGTGTATGAAAAAGATGCTAGTAAATTTAATGCCTCAACCGACAAAACATAGTTATATAACATTGATTAGTAAATATTGCATAGATATAAATTAAGCTTATCAAAAAGGTATACATACAGTAAAAAAAATGTATAATACAAACCTAAACACTGTTTTATCGGGGTAATGTTTGGCAGATTTATGCTATTGTTGGACGCATCTTGACACACGATGGTTATGTTCTCTCTACAACCTTCTACTTCAAATGACAACTTTACTCGAAAGAAGTAACTTGTAAAATTCTGATCTACTTTTTGTGGTTTCCTTAAAATATTTTCCTGCAAAAGAAAGGAGATAAGGCGAATATTACTTATTGGTAAATTTCTGTTGGTTGACTAAGGTGATCGGTATTTATTATTTTCATGTTTCTTTTTGTCCATTTGGTCCAAACAGTGTGAGCTGTTGACTTCCTATGTCCGTTAACTTCTACATGACACTACAAATCATATTTGAAAACATTGAGAAATAATTTGTCTTCTGGAAACGCTTATTAAAAGTAAAAAAAAAACCCACTCTCATCACTATGTACTAATAAACAAAAGGATGCAAGCGCTTACCAGGCATTATTATGAAATCTTGATTAAGCCTTTTTCCAACACATTTTTCATTTTAAAATATTCAGCTTTTTACCGTCTCCTCGGAGACGGTCTTATAAGTTGAACGATGGACAGTCTTCGGACTGAATGCTTTCTTACTACCTGATTGCAAAATATTACAGACTCTTGCATTATGGAACGCCATAGCTGTCTTATGTGGTACTCTGATATTACGTTATGTTGTTTTATTATTACTTGATGATATTTTGTCTTTACATAATATGGTTTTGACATTACGTAATGATGTTATGATATAACTCAATATGGAATAGTCATTACTGAATGATATTTCGATATTACATGTTATGGTTTCGTATTGACTTGATATAATTTTGTCATTACATAATATGGTTTTGTCATTACTCGATGTGGTTTCACAATTATTTAATGTGGTTGTGTCATGAGGCAATGTGGTTTTAACATTACTTGATGTGTATGTGGCTTAATGTAATGTGGTTAATTGTTTCATTACATGATGTGGTTTTGTTATTTCGTAATGATGATTTGCCAATTCTTTATATGGCTTTAACATTACATAATGATGTTTCAAAATTTGACGATTTCACACTACATGATGTGTTCGTTCCAGTAATTGATGTGGTTCTGTCATTCTTTGATGTGGTTATCACATTACTTGATGAGGTAAAACCACGTGACCATTTGGGAAAAACTAGTTCTATTGTTAGAACCAATTTCCATATGTTTAATGTGCCTCGGATGAGTGTGGCCATCCATCCAGTTAGAATTTAAATTAAAGTTAGGGATACCATTCGAGTTAAACATCGAGTTAGTCTTCGATTTCAAGTTAGAATTCAAGGCATAATTAGAATTAAAGTTCGAGTTAGCATTGAGTTTCGTGTTGAGCTTCGAGTTTACGTCACATTTGAAGGCAGAGTTCGAGTTACAATTCGACTTCAACTTTGAATTTGAGTCACCTTTTGAGGTAGAGTTCGAGTTAGACTTCGAATTTGAGTCTTATTTAGATTAATTAAGATTTCGAGATGAAATACGAACTAAGTATTAGTTCGTATTTAAATTTTCTATCGATGATCGAGGGCTTTTACTCGGGCTTCCGAAAAGAGGGCTTAGGGATATGCGCACAAAAGATAAACAATGTTACAGTAGACAAAACACAACATAGAAATCTAAATAAAGTTAGAAGATGTGGTATGATTGTCAATGAGACAACTATTCATCAGAGTTTAAATGCAGTATATGTTAGTAAGTATATGCAACCGTACGGCCTTCAATACACCGTATAGTCGGCTATAAAAGGCCACCACGTGAAAATGTGAAACATATCAAAAGAGAAAAGTAACGGCCTAATTTATAACAAAACAATTTACGAAAAACAAATATGACAAACATGAACCAACGACTACCATTAAACTACAGTCTCCTGACTTAGGACAGGCACATAAAGAATGTGGCGGTTTAAACATGTCTGTAAGCGCTCAGCCCTAACCCTAACCTGGGACAATAGTGTTACAGCACAACATAAGAAATCAAAGCGCGAAAGCGCTGTAAAGGCAGTTAATTACCGGTTGTGTGTATTTTTAGTCCAGTTATATCATTATCTTGCATAGTACAGTGTACTTATCAGAGGTGGCTTCCAGTATTTAAGATTTAGAGTTCTCTAATGATATTGAACAAGTTACATGAATGTCATATGCATATTTTGAGCATTATATGAAGGTGATTGTTCCAACTTGTTTATGAACTAGTGCATTATGTCCAGTTTGTACCTTGCTTATCTATGTTTCTAGTCAAATACTGTTTAATATGGTTGGGCATTTTCTTTTTAGGAATAAATACCAGTTATCAACCGTATTTTATTCAACTTTGCAAATGTGGTTTGTTACTAGTAAGCATGGATGATAGTTGTTTAATTGGCAATCATACCACATCTCCTTATTTGTATTATGATCTATATTCAACGACCCCAGGTACCAAATAAAAATGTATGTAACTAAACTATGATGGGAAACCTCTGACTTCTTTCTTTTATATAAACTTTGGATTTGGTAGCATAGAACTATGTAGACGACTCCTGTTGAACTTATTGTGCATAGATGACGGTGTCTATCTATCATTTTATATATGTATGATGGTATTTACCTGCTATCCTTCGATTCAACAGCTTTAAGAATATGGTGAACACTTGTTTATATGCCATGAATATGCAACACAGCTCATGGTAAAGTATGCCAACAAGAATGCTGGTATTAAATCTCAGTACACTTTGATGTTTAAATTAGGGCAATTTGTATGACTGTTACTTTGATATTATTAACTTGCACATAGTATATGTGTGTATCTGTGGAGTTACATATTTGATATACCAAGCATATATTTTGGCATGGTTGATGATAATAGATATCGTGGCAAAATTATAAAATACACTTTATATGGATATGTTATATTAATTTCATTTGTAAACTATGGTAACATACAGTCAATCTCAAGATATCTATTTTAATCTTAAAAGCAATGCAAATTTAGCAATGGGGTATACATTTTCTTCCTATACATCAGAAAATAAATTTGAACCATGTATATATGATTTTCTGTACCTCACCATGGTACGCACTTTTAAGACATAAAAGAACTTTTCCTTATTAATATAAATGGACTTTTCTTTATTATTGATTATATTAGCATATTCAATGACTTCAATCCTATGAAAAGTAGTTCATAATGATTGCTTAGTCACTGTATTGTGTGTATTGCAAGAACATCAAGTAACATAATGTTAAATGTACATTGCAACATGTCAACTCTTTTGATGACAATACTTTTTCTATAAACTATATGTAACTCCAAGCAAAATTATTTCCAAGTATAAAGTAATTTATGAATGAAAAAAGGAGTTCTTAATTAAGAAAAAAATGACATCTTAAAGACTCGTTGTTTGGTCACTGTCATAATAGTTGTCTCAATATATATATATAGCATTTTAACCACCTCTCCATATTTGTAAGACAATAGAAGAAAATAATTCAACCCAAAAACAAAAGTTGTAAGATCTCTGAAATTCTCTACACGGTATGAGTTTTTCTCATTGTTGGAGATTGTACGGTTACAGTAACACCTGTAACTGGTTAATTAGATATAAGAAGATGTGGTATGAGTGCCAATGAGACAACTCTCCATCCAAGTCAAAATTTATAAAAGTAAACCATTATAGGTCACAGTACGGTCTTCAACACGGAGTCTTGGCTCACACCGAACAGTAAGCTATAAAGGGCCCCAAAAATTACTAGTGTAAAACCATTCAAACGGGAAAAACCAACGGTCTAATCTATATAAAAAACGAGAAACGAGAAACACTTATGAACCACATCAACAAACGACAACTACTGAACATCAGATTCCTGACTTAGGACAGGTGCAAACAAATGCAGCGGGTTTAAACGTTTTAATGGTACCAAACCTTCACCCTTTTTCTGAAACAATAGTGTAACATGACAACATAGAAAGACACACTATAAAATACCAACTGAAATAGCTTAACTCAATCAAAGGACATATTTACATAAACCCATTTCTTATGCAATTTGGTTTGATAAACTCACTGAATATCATACCACTGTGGGCACATCTCCTTATTTTTATATGCATAACAATTTACATGTACATGTAATTGTAAATATATATATCAGAACAAAATTCATTGCGATCAAGTCCATCATGCGACAAAGTGAAATTGAACGACTTTTGTCGAACGCTTCAAAGTTACGTTGGAATGTATACCCGAAAAAGGCATCAAAACAGACTTTGATGAAATTTTCCAAATCTTGGATTTCAACGAAATTTAGGCTTGAATGGTATAAAGAGCTGTATTCGACAAACTAACTATTTTAGTCAGATATTTTATTTCTTATAACATGTATTATAAGCATAATGTTGCAAGATCTTTTTGTCGACGAGTGCGCTAGCGCTGTTTCCGGTTCTGAAAACTAATGGAATTCGCGGCCTGCTTTCTTTGTGTTTGCATTGAAATTGATGTTATCTGTGTCGTCAAAGAATGATATCTAATCTAGTTATTGTTTTTAAAATATGCCATTGTTATAACAGCCATCAATCAAAATTTAAATTTTAAGCTCGATATACTAATATTTTGGCCTTGTCCAACTTACTCCTTTTCCTATAGCATTAAAACGTTGATGAGTTGATTTATCGGGACTATCGTGACCAGGACCCAGTACATTAACTTTATTAGGTCAATGATTAAGCTAAGTTTTTCTAGATCTCAACACTTCTCGTTTTATTTAGTTTTGAATGACAAATGGCAGATAAAAGATTGTTCAATATAAGTTTTAATGATCATTTTGAAAAGATGTGATAAATCTTTAGAAATATTTTGGTGTTTTTTAATGTTTGAATTTTACTACGTTTCACACTCTATACACCTTTAGAGACCTGCTATGAATGCAACAGATACAGGCGGAAGTGGCCATAATTTTCTAACATAAAGTAATAAACAACTGATCTAGGAAGAAGTAAATGAATAACATATCTTAAAACAAATTGATAAACAGATACAAACGCAGATGATTGAGTAAGTATCCGCCTTTTTTCGGTGTTCATACATTCCCCCACAGTCATTTGTTTCTGAATTGTTTTTCATATATACCTTTGTGTTATATTAAGGT